TTAAGAATAATCCAAAATAATAATAAAAATAGTAATAATTGAATAATATCATGATTAGCAATGAATATATCTAAAATGATATGTGTTTGAAATAGATAAAATGATGTGCTTGCCATCAGCTTTTTAACTTTAACCATTCATAAAAAGAATAGCAGATATTCATATCTTGCTGACTCACGAGAGCTAAAGGAGTAATTAGAACTTTTCAGCTTATAACATAAATAGTGATGAGTGGTATCAATCGTTTTTTATTCCGATCCTGGTTTCAGTCACAAAAATTGTTGGTTCTGGTTTTACGTTTAGTAATATATTTACTAACGAAAAATATGATATCATTTTTCAACAATACATTCTCTCTCTAAAAAATTCGTTAGTTTTTTTAATTCATTAAAACATCGTCTCTTCTGCACATCTATGTATTCGACAACTGTTGTTTACAAACAAAAAAGGGTTTAATCTTACTATCAAAATTGTAATAGCATATATTGAAGTGATCGTTAATCAATAATTCTCGCATAAACTTGTAAGAAACATGACTTGTGAGAATATAACATCTGACACATGTCTTACACGACCATAAAAGTTATCACTTACAACGAACAAGTGTTGGTCCTAGTTTCGATGTCATCTTGTCCATACCTTTCTAAACGGACATCGAAAATAATGACGAATGTTCTTCATGTGATCTACAATTAAGTTCTTCAGGATATATCTAATTGAGTCTATATCCATTTTAAGACTCTAATCTAGATCGTTTTTGTTGTTGGTCTTTATCAGAATAACTTATTTTCTTGCTTTTATACCATATTTCGAATGTAAATTCTCAACAAGCTACACAATATCTTATATGTCTAATAATCTATATTAAGAACAATCAAAACAACAAACAGTCTGCACTTTTTCCTAGGCATAAAACAACCACAATAACGTTTTGTACCGTATCTCATGTTGGAGAAAAGAAAATACAAATAACAAAACAGAAGAAATGCATGCAATAGAAAAAGTCCAGGAATAGAAGGACAAAAGTAGCATGGCTATTGAATACTTTTCTTCAAGTCTATCTTATTCGTTTGAAATAGATTTTATTATTTTTAACATTGGAATTATTTCAATTCAAAAAAATTTTTTTAATGATTTGATATAGATTAATATACCATTTTATTACTCAAGTCATCTGTTATTTCCACTCTTTATTTAAATTCTGTATTCTTTCTATATAGAAAACAAAAAGAATAATTCACTGTTGTCATGAATGAGAATCGTTCGCTTTCTCGATTTTTCTGAACATTTATGGCTTTTATGGAAGAATCAACTTTTATTGATCTTAGAGTACTAATAGATTAAGGTTTCTATTAGTTCAGTGAGAAAATTATAGAATTTTCGAGACTTTCTCTCTCGTGGCTATCTTATCGAAAATGATGGACGCACTTTGATTTAATTATTTTCTTGTTCAATATCGAATAAACCTAAATCTTATGAATGTTTTATAATTTTTGTATGTAAATGTTGAAGAAAATATCAAATCAACATATCTATTTCCTTTTTCTATGCATATAAGAAAATCAATTCAACTAACATGTCTATCGGATATCATTCACTTGAATATATTTTATGATTAGTTTTGCAATTTTTTAAAAGTCCCTTACGTAGAAATAATTAATTAACAAAACATATCATAATGGTATTATAAAGAGACTTCATTTTCATAAGGTTATTGTGAGAATGATAGAAATATTTATGGACATCAATACGATTATAATAAATACAAAAGGAAGCTATACAATTTACTATTAAGAACGATTTTGTGTTCAACACTGATAACTCTAATAGTTAGCACTACCGAACACATCATTCCAGACATACCTACGCGTTGTTTCATTTGGTGAAATCTATATGTATATATACACTAGCGAGAGCTCGTGCATACTGCACGGCTGTTTTCTCCTTTAACGTATGATCGAAGACGTTTAACTTTTCATTCAGGAACAGACATACAGACACTCGATATTATGTATATAGATAGATAGCCCTACGGCCCGATACTCTTATATCATACATATTTTTATAGTCCATGTAGCCTTCGACCTTATAGCCGTGTATCCCTTGTAGCTATTGTAGCCTTATCTCCTTATTGCCTNTTCAACTGAAAGTTGAAGGAACAAAGTAGGGTGTGGGTCTTGATTTTTATCTCATCTCGACCTAAACTAAACCCACATCCACTCTCTAAGAATATGCTCTCAATCTTAACTTTACTAAAATACAATCGACAATTATTGGAATTCACTAGTCTATTTATCATCAGAAATAATTTTCATGTTGTAATCAAGCTAACTTAAATGCATTGATAATTAGTTTCTTTTTAATTGTATTATTAATTGTGGTTTTCCTATATTCCCTATTTATATATATATATGTATGCTGAAGTAAACCGTAAAATTCATTGAACATCATCTAACTTCAAAAAAAATAGCAGAAAAACCTTTTTCGTTAAAGCGGAGCTGGAGCTGGAGCGGAGCTGGAGTGAAGTCAGAGTGGAGCTGGAGCGGAGCCGGAGCGGTTATTTTTGATTAGGACCGGAGCTAGAGCGGAGCTGGAGCGAAATTTTCTAGCCTGGAGTGGAGTCGGAGCGGAGCGCGTCATTAGTGACTGGAGCTGGAGCGGAGCTGGAGCGAGAAAGGGTCGGAGCTGCCCATCTCTGGTTCCATTCTTAAAAATACCTTTAACAACAGATGGGTGTGGGTGTGGTTATGTATGGGTACAGGCTTCAGTGTGAAAATCTTGTTCATCCACAGCTCACAAGAACACTCACATTCAACATCTAGCTTAGCTATTCTTAAGAATATAGACACCGATGTTCTTCTTTTACATACATCTAATGGAAGTGCCAGAACAAATGGACCTCAGTATTTTTGCAACGACTTCTTTATTTTTCATTCTCTAGACGTGAATTTCTTCCAAAAGATCCATCATTGAATTCTCTACAAGATCTTTATCACAACTTTTTCTGCCGAAAGTTAACTGAAAAAAGAGAAAAAGAATATTCAACACGGACAAAAGAATAAACTTGCGAAACCATTTAAAAGGAACAAAATTTAGTATTTTCATTCAGTTTGACTGATAATGGAATCAAATAAAACTTGTTTGACTACTTTGAAGTGTGCTTTTTCTTATCACGTAGTTCAAAATTTTCTGAAATGAGATTGAAATTGATTGAAAAATCTTCCTTTTTAAAATCTTATTCAAAATGACTCAAATCATATATTTGTCGCCAGTTGAATTGAAAAAGAAAAATTTTAGATGAAGTTTCATCTCCGAATCTGGAACAGTAGTAATTTTCTATAAAAATGGAAAAAACCCGAAGCCAAAAGATGCTTCGAATGAAGATCAATTGAAAGTCGAAAAATTGAGAGAATGAAGTATAGAACTGCAATAAACATTGTAAGAGGACTAATCACACCGTATTTATTTATTGATATTTCAACAAATATTCTTTTGTCATCATCAAAATAAATAAATAGTTACAATACGAACAATATAGAAAGACAGATTAAGAAAAAGAAAAATAGGTATAGAATGCCGATTATGTGTGGATGGGTAGATTATATATGTATGTGTCGACTATATTAGGCTAATTTGAATGAGGGTGTGGAGTGTGTGCAGGTACGAACGTAGAAGTGAGACACACCCACACCTACACCCTAAATATACCGAATAATACGAAAAAAACAGATAACCTGCTGGTTGAGACCAAGATTTCAAGAATTTTAATTACATTGTATTGAACTTTAATTCACATCATTGTGTAACAACAAAGGGTGTGGGCGGGTGTGGGTGTGGGTTTTTTCATCAAACACACCCACACCCCACAGCTGGGCCTTGCGCAGATCGAAAGAGAACAATTTTCTCTATCGAGTGGCTATATTACAAGTCAAAATCAAAATAGAAATCTCTTTGGAATATCGTTCACAAAAGTTTCACGTACAACTTACCTGATTGGCTAATAGCTGACCAATCAAATTTCGAATATGTTTCGATGTCCCCCGGTGTCCTCTCTCGAATAGCGAAAACCGCAGGTCTCTACAATGTTCCTATGAAAAGTTATTCAAAAAACAGTGGAGAACATTATATTTTGAAACGGATAATACTTCTCAATTTAACAGTCATACTAAACTGTTCAGCATTGAATTATATACTTGGTGGCATGAGAACAAACGTGTCATAGACAAAGTCTCGTTTTGGAAAACATGATCTTCCAAAATACGTCTCAAAATACTACTAGGTTATTGGTCCAAAGCCCTTCTATTCTGAACAACAGTAGCAGAAACTTTAAGAAGTAGTAGAAGCAAAAAGTACGAAAATTTCTATCCATTGATGCCAAATACCTTATTTTCAGCATCAATTCTGATAAGCAAATGCTTACACAAATCAATAGGTGTACCTGCAGAAAATCGAAAACCACTTTTAGACGATTGAATAGGTGCACATCTTGTATTGTGGAGCAGAACATTTTTTATTGAAGAAGCCTAAAATGAAGTTTTTAATACGTTGGGTAGTACTTTAAGAAGAGGGAAACATTTTGACCCAATAATTATGAGTCATCTGTTAGAAATAGTTGTACTTCCATCTTTCTTAAATGTTATTAAACTAAAAAATTATTCATTATTGTGACTACATACCTTTTGCGTCATCAAATAATTGTTCGAAAAATAAGAAACGAAAATGCTTCATGTCTTTAAATGTTTTTTTTTCGATACGAGTCACATTCATCAGCTTGCAATATTGACTTACTGATAAAAAAATGATAAGAGAATATTGTATCCTAACAAAAGCAGGCAAAAAGTAAGACCATAAAAAAACGAATTCTTATTTTTCGTTTTGACATAAACAGATAAGTTATTTCCACTTTAGATTTCATTTTTTTTTCAAATAAGTTTCTTACAAATATATCGACACTTTTTTTGTGTATCACCACGACATTCGTATCATTATAATAAAAATCCATGACATTTCATATGGATAACAAATCATCATCAGTGCAAAACATCAAAGAAGAACAACCTGTAAGTACAAACAATGATAAAAACAAAGAAAGTACATATGTTGATGAAAATAAAGAAAGTACAACACTTATTTGGTTTGATCCAAATATTGGATCACGTGAAGATACGGAACAAACAAAACAACAACTTCGTCTTATCAATGATTATGTCACTTTTCATACTGATCTTGAACAATGCATTACATTTATTCAATCAATTCATAAAGAAAAAATCTTTTTAATTACATCAGGATCAAAAGCATCACAAATTTTACCTCGAATTTCTTCGTTTCGTCAAATTGATTCAGTTTTTATCTATTGTATGAAAAAAAATCGATATGAATATTTGTTAGATGAATATTTAAATATTATTGGAATTTATGTTAATCTTGATGATTTATGTCAATCAATTAAAGAACAAATTGATCTTGTTAATAAACAAATACAAACATTTTCTTTTTTTGATCAACATGAAAAATCAACAAAAGATTTATCCAAAGAATCAGCAGAATTTCTTTGGTTTCAGTTATTTAGCTATGTTATTGCTCGTCTTCCACGAAATCAACAAGCTAAACAACAAATGACTCAAATATGTAAAGAATATTATCGTGGAAATACAAAAGAAATGAAATTAATTCAGGACTTTGAACTAAATTATCGATCAGAAGATGCTATTCGTTGGTATTCAAAACAATCATTTGTTTACAGATTAATTAATAAAGCTTTAAGAACAGAAGATATCGATTTATTGTATACATTTAGATTTTTTATTGGTGATCTTTCTGAAAACCTTCAACGTCAACATGAAAAGCTTCTATCATCAAAAGAAAAAATTTTAAATGTTTATCGTGGTGCTAAACTTGACAAAGAAGAATTCGATAAACTAAAAGAAAATCAAGGAAAACTTATTTCAACAAATGGATATTTATCAACTAGTCGACTAAAATCGGGCGCATTAAGTTTTGCACTAAAGCCGACAAAACGAGTTGATGTCGTTGCTGTTTTTTTTCATATACAATGTGATATTACAAAAATTGGTAAAAATATAATTTTTGCTGATATTAATCAGTTTAGTGAATATCCCGATGAACAAGAAGTATTATTTGATTTGAATGCTTGTTTTGAGATTGAATCCATTGAAGAAAATGAATCATTACAAATAGTTAAAATGAATGCATCAAACGAAGGACGAAAAATTACTAAGGATTTTATTGAATTAGCCCAAAAAGAAACAGAGGAACTTAGTGTTTCAATTGTTTTTGGAAGATTATTATGTGATTTAGGTGAATATGATAAATCACAAAAATATTTTCAACAATTATTGAATGATTCAAATGATGAAGATCGAGCTTGGATTGAATTTAATATTGGCCGAGCTCTTGATTTAAAAGGTGAATGGAATGAAGCTCGAGAATATTATGATCGTGCATATGATCAAATGATGCAAAATGAACCAGCACGAATCAAAGATTCCGCTCATATTCTTAACAATATTGGAAACATTCTTCGTCGACAAGGAAAGTATACTGAAGCTCTCGATTATCATCAACGAGCATTGGAAATTCGAGAAAAAGTTCATTCTTCTTGTCATATCGATATTGCTACAAATCTCAACAACATCGGTCTTATTCTCGATAACCAAGGAAAATACAATGAAGCTCTTGATTATTATCAACGAGCATTAAAAATTCAAGAGAAATGTTATCCATCTGGTCATGTAGATATTGCTACAAGCCTCAACAACATTGGAATTATTCTCGATAATCAAGGAAAGTACAATGAGGCTCTCAATTATCATGAACAAGCACTGAAAATGAATGAGAAATTTTATCCCTCTGGTCATGTCGATATTGCTAAAAGCCTCAACAACATTGGTCTTATTCTTTATCGACAAGGAAAGTATGACGAAGCTCTTAATTATCATCAACAAGCATTGAAAATGAGAGCGAAATGTTATCCATGTGGTCATGTCGATATTGCTACAAGCCTTAACAACATCGGTGTCATTCTACATCAGCAAAGAAAATATGATGAAGCACTTGATTATTATCAACGAACACTGAAAATTCGAGATATATATTATCCATCCGGTCATGTCGATATTGCTGCAAGCTTCAACAACATTGGTGTGATTCTCGATAACCAAGGAAAATGCGATGACTCTCTTGATTATCATCAACGAGCTTTGAAAATTCGAGAGAAATTCCATCCATGTGGTCATGTGGATATTGCTCAAAGCCTCAACAACATCGGTCTTATTCTGCATCGACAAGGAAAGTACGAAGAAGCTCTTGATTATTATCAACGATCATTGAAAATTCAAGAGAAATTTTATCCATCTGGTCATGTTGATATTGCTAAAAGCCTCAATAATATTGGCCGTATTCTCCAGCGACAAGGAAAGTGCGATGACGCTCTTGATTATCATCAACGAGCATTGAAATTGAGAGAAAAATTTTATCCATCTGGTCATGTAGATATTGCTACAAGCCTCAACAACATTGGTGTTATTCTCATTAATAAAAGAAAGTATGATGAAGCTCTCGATTACCATCAACGAGCATTGAAAATGAGAGAGAAGTTTTATCCGTCTGATCATGTCAACATTGCTGACAGTTTGAATAATATAGGTGTTTGTTATGAAAATCAGAACAAGCGAAAGATGGCACTTGACTATATTCAACAGGCATTGACTATTTATGAGAAATGTCTTCCTACTGGCCATCCAAGTCGACAGAGAACCGAGAAGAATATTCGTCGACTAAGCGGGGAAACGCTAAAGTGATTAAATGCACATCAAAGAATTAAATGTAAATATTGATGAAAAAAATTGTGTTTTTGTGAGTCAGTTATAAACTTCTATATGGAATTTGGTTTAGTATATGTGAGGGCAGATTCATAGGAAACTTTATATGATGACATAGATTTATTGTTTGTAAATCAATTACGGTTAACAAGTCTTTTTTCTTTTCAACACGTGATTTTATTAGTAAAAAAACTTTTCTTTTCCTTATCAATAAGTATTGAAAAAAGGATGTGGGTGTGTATAATGAAGATAAGACCAATATCCACACTCCACCCACACCCTCAAAGTATTCTTTAAAATTACTGCTAATCGAATGGTTATTTTGAAAGTTGATTTGTTTTTTGATTGATTATTAAATGTGTTTTTAAGATCTTTTTTTATAATTTATCATGATAAAATTTCATTTAAATGCGAAATGACGTTTTTCTCTAAGTGTCTTATTTCAGTATTTAATAAATACTTTAATTGTATTAGGTACTTTATTGGTGGGATTTCAAAAGAAAAGTTTTATCAAAGTTTTCAAAAATTAAAGAGTTGATGAATTTGAATGTGAACTGAGAACACGTTTTCTCAATAAATCAAAAGAAAGAATTATTTTATTTTCGAGTAAGTTTTACAAATTTTTGTTTTAAAGGAATTCGATTTTCGGTTAAAGAAATATTTGAGAAAAGTTTGTAAAAATCTTTTTTTTTATCTAAAACGAAATAAAATGAAAAGAATTTTAGGATAAAAATCTTTGAAAATTCTCAATAAAATATCACAATTAATCAAAAAAAATCGTTTCCTATTTTTTTTACATACATATTAACATTGATATTTTTCTTTAGTTGAGGAAAATTTTTATTTTATTTATGTACTCTTCCTAAATAAGCTTTGTTAAAAGGTAAACTTGCTAGCTCAATTGATCCTATTTGAAAACATTTTCTATTATACATCGTTTATAAAGTTCCACATGCTCTCTTCATTGGTATACTTTTTCTTTCTAGTAAGACGAGGTTCGCAAGCACTTTAGAGTCAAACAAGATAGAGAATCAAAAGGGTTTCTAACGATGATCTTTAGCAATGTTTTATTGACAAGTTAAATAACAATTTAAGTAATCAAATCGAATGTAATATATCAATCGATAAATCATCAAGTGCTTAGCAAATTTGTGTACGACATATCATGTTATAGTAGATATTTCCTGTGTTTTAGAGTGAAGAACTGTCTAAATTCGTATAATTAGTGATCATAGCTGATATTGTACACCTCACATGACCATTATTTCACAATGTTTGGGAGACATTTTTTCTACATAAGTTGTCTAGGACTAGAAAAGTGCAAACCTAGAAGTATTCAAAAATACTTCGCTCAATATTTTCTAAAAGACACATTGATGAAATATCATGATGGATGTATAACAAACACCGTGGTAGCCCTATGATCTTCATCATTCTTGCATTATCATGGAGTCAGTTTCTCTGTAAACGCAGGAATAATCAAAAGCTATCTCAATTAAAATAACTTTTGGAAATGTTATTTCTTCTTTTTACTAAAGGATATTCTACGTTGGGATATTCACAGGGTGTTCCAAAAGTCATGATGACTTAATAAATAGCTATAACTTTGCTACCGATCAACCTTAATTAAAGAGTTTTTTCTATGTTAAATATCAGAATCGTAAGCTGTTAATGCCAAAAATAATGTGCACTGTGTTTTTTTCCATATCTATTCGAATTTATAATGTTCTTATGACCTTCAAATCATTGAAATCTTTCACTGTAACTATATTAAAACTAGTTTTGATATATTCTTACGATCAGAAAATAAGAGAATCAACTGTCATGTTAAAACGTGTTGCGAGAAAATGCACCTATGATTTGATCATATTAAAGTATGCCAAACAAATTATTAGAAAGCAATCATCAAAGATCTACATGATGCGAAGTTCATAATAATGTTAGAAATTCTATGCATATTGTTTTTGGCACTCAAAAAATAAATCTAATTAACGCAATGTAAAGTAAAGCTTTGATGTGGATTCTAACCGAGTGTTATTTTCTCTACACTGTTTATGAACATGGTTGTTAGAATAAAAACTTACTATTCTGCTATTTACAACAGAAAAAAACTATTTGATAAGGCTTGATCAGTAGCAGGATTATAAATATTAATTAAGTGATCATGACTTTCCGAATATCCTGTGCATATTCTAACATAGAAGACATCTGAACAAGGATAAGAAACAACATTTTCAAAATTTGTTTTGAATGTGATAGCTCTTAACTGCTCCTGCTTGCGCAGGGAAACTGACTCCATGATGATACAAAATTGTTGGAGATCATAGGGTCACAAGGGTACTCACTATACACCTATTATGATATCCTATTGATGAGTTTTTTAGAAAATATTGAGTAAAACATTTTTGAATTCTTCTATGGTTGCACTTTTGTAGCTATGGACAATTGATACTTATGGAAACTGGATGGTATTCGACATTCTCTCGAATACAAAATGCGGTGCGAATATCTCATCAAAAAGATTTTACGATTCATCAGAGATCGTTTGTTTCCAAATGATATTAATGTTTCACTCAAATCAGCGTTTTTTCTCTAGCTGTAAATTCTGATTTATCTTTCAACCGATCAGCTAATAAAAATCTGAGAGAATGTGTTAATCGGGTATTGTAAAATTCATCACTAGAAGAACTCTATAACAGCGCATATATATATTTCTAATGAACAATATCGATGGATCATTTAATTATCTACATGACTCATTATCTATGATCGACTGTATTCACAGTTGTTTCACATATGAGAAAAGAGAGCGTCGTCTAACTTTTGTTTCTCTTTTTTTAATTAATATTAAAAAAAAAGCAAAAGTGAAGAATGTTGATAACAATTTTATAAAATGATAAATTAAAAATTTTGTTGAATATTTACTTTCTTCTAACTACTTTGAATCTTTTATTTCATTTTAATGTACAGACAACTCAATAAACTGAAACGTTAAATGAATGATTTTTATAGAAATGATGAACAACTTAAAATTCTTCTTTTTACTTATCAACAGTGTAAGTCACACTCGGAACCAATTGAGTTTTTTAGACTAAATTAGACCAGCCTATTGAAATTGTTGAATTAACAGGCAAAGATCTGATGCGATTAATATATCTAATAAGCAATCAGTTGTTTCTAGAAATAGTTTATTACTTCAGTTCTACGAAGACATGTAATGTAAAATTAACAAAGATTTCTTTCGGTATGTTTCTTCTAATAACTCACAGCAACAAACAGTTTTACTATGCCGTGGCTGACTTTTTTCAATAATGCTATGATTTCTTTTCAATTGATAAATTTGATCGGTTCTTATTTGAAATTATTAATTAATACAGCTGAAAGATATTTCAATTAGTAAAAGAATACTATTACCAATAAAAAGATAGTACGTTTTTATATGAGACTTCCTATTTTAAGCTTTCTTAAAATCTAAATATTTTCACAAGTATTTGACAAAATATTGACAGCAGAATAAAAGTTTCTTGATATTTTGTAATGAAAGCATGAATTGAAAACTATTAGCTATTGAGATTTTATGAGAGTTGGTTTATATTAGCTCAGAAAAGTGTGCTCGAAATTTCGAGATTAATTAACTTCTAATATGTTGCTAAATTTTCATAAATATAATAAATTCATTCAGCATGATTCGAGGTTCTCATCGTGCGATGAGAAAGTGTTAGCTCAATATTTAGAGCTGGAATTTATTAGTTACAAACTTTCAGGCTCATGCCTTTTGACCATTGAAACTATATAAATCGTTAAAAAACGGCCAGTTTTAAGGATTCAATCGAACTGGACGTGGAATTGGCAGACCGGTCGGTCCGATTATACGTATGATATAGGCGTAGGCGCAACTTGTGATTCAGTTCTTTCAACAGCCATAGTCATACCTATGCTTGAATACCCATAGAAAAGATTGTAAAATATTTTGCGATGTAAAACGGGACTATAGTTGTTTAAAATTTGTGAATAAGCAAAGCATGTGATGACGTTTGAAATGTTAGGGTTGATCTGCTACATAAATTTCAATAAATTCTTGAGTTCTTATGATTGCTTAAATTATTCGAATTGCTTCAATTCCGAGAGTTACATGAGTTCAGAAATCATGGAATTCTGACACGTGTCAATCTTAAAATATATTTCCTATTAAGTATCTATTTTTATTATTCTTTCAAAACAAGCAACAAAAAATCCATTTGTTAATTTATCATCTGGTAAAGCACGTAAACATGCTCGCGTCCTCTCTGTTTGTCCACGATTTTCCCTTTGAGGTAGAAAATCAACAAGCTAAAATAGAAGAACGTATAATAAAATTTAAACCAAAAAAAACTTTCTTTATTAAACCTGAAATGTGTCACTAAATTGATCAAGAATTGTTTCAACCACTTGTTCATTGTCTTGTCGATGTATCGAACATTTACTATATGAAACACGTTGTACTTTTGAAAATTTTGTTAACACATATGTAATCATACGTATTTGACATTCTAAACGTTGTTTATCAATAATTTCTGCCTCATCATTTCGATTACGAATATCCGAACCAAAATAAGATGGATCAAGTAAAACAAAATCTATTTCATTAAATGATATTGTAACATTTACAAAAACTCACCATTTAATGTATGTGCATAAGTAGCATAAGCTGATGTCAAATTAGTATTAAGTTCTTTAAAACGGCGTTTATTGATTTCAATTGTATGAAGAATACTTTAAAAGTTAAAACAAACAGTCAGCATAAAAAAGATTGATTCGAATAGAATAAAAACTCATGATTTTGTAGATAATTTGCTAAACAAATTGTTTTATCATCTGGTGCAGCACAAGCATCAAGAACGATACTATCCGGGGGTGAAGATAATGCCAAACATGGTAAACAACTAGCCTGAATCAAACATAGAAAAAAAAGAAGATTATCTCTATGAGGTAAAAGAATCTTATGCTATATCTATAAGTAAAATATGTCGTTTGAGATAAATATCATAATCAAAAAATTTTATACCAGAAGAAAAAACGAGAACATGTTCAATATCTTGATCGATAAAGTATTTCGTTTTTCATAAGCATTTGACACCTTTACGAAAATATTGAAAGTGAACATGCATACCTTTTTGTAATTCGAAGTACTAAATCTCACGGGCAAAAAGAATTCATTTTCCATCTGAATCGATAAATTAAATGATATTAGGATGTGGATGTAGATTTTGATTATACCCACACCCTCCATTGTAAAAGCTAAAGACCTCAAACTTTATAGTTATTCAGTACTAATTAGTTACAGTATATAGACGTTTTAAAACGTTTGCTTTTGTTGTATATGAGAACGATGCATTCTAAAATTGCTTTCGAACTTCTCGGACACCTCTTATGGATATACAGTTTGATGAGTACTCGTTATGAATATAATTAAACTAAGATCTTTCGAAACAAAAGATTTTTTATCCTAGAATTTTTTTATTATAATTATTCTTTTGCATCTTTTTTTCAATCAAATATTTGAATAATTATTAGCGCATTTAATGAGATAACATGAAAGATATGACTAAACTAACAATCAAATCAATTTATTATTTTGTATGAAACAAGAAAAAGAGTTTAATCAATATAATAAATAAGACGTTCCCATTGATTTGATTTTTGCAAATTTTTTGCGCTACCACATCTATCACCACTAATTTTTTTGACATTTGATTGAAGTGTCCAACAGAGTCGATAATCAGAATCCAAATTACTTGCATCGCACGGATTGACTACAAATGATAAAGATCCACGCACGAAACCCCAAGTTTGATTATTCACATGATACCAGCCAACACCACGTTTTGCTTGAGTAATACATTGATGATGTGATGAACATATGAATTTTTTGTTTATCTTCTTAGATGTACCATTAATTTTACATCGTTTTGGTAAACATGGATGTAAAATTTCTTCACGTTGTCCGATGGCCGCTAGAGTAAGTATCTTTTTATTACTAACTGAACGACAAGCAACAAGAAGTCGACTACCATTACACGATTTTGTTAATACATATAAATCGAATGGTAAATCGTATGTACTACGATAACATTCTTGCCAACCAATGAGAGACTTTACGGTCAAGTTAACATGTGTACCTTCCATTGGTAATAAGAAATGATCAGCTACAATGAATAGTATAAGAAAAGAAATATGATTGATATTTTATTTACACTATGATATGATTATAGGAAAATGAATATTCTACAGGGTTCACTCTAAATATTATATGGCATGTCATAATTTTTCGGTTTGAATACTAAAGATCAATATAATGCGAAGATTTTATATTTTTAGAAAGAATTGATAAGTAGCCATCAACAATATTTTAATCGATCAAGTCAACTTAGTACTATTCATTTACTAAATGGATCATATGATGTTTAACTTACGTGTCAGTCCAAGATCAATAAGCATATGAGTAAAATTTACGTGTGTGCTTAGATATGGTGATGAAAATTGTAGTTGATATCCTAATATTTTTGACATTCGCTTGATTGTTCGTAATTGATCAAGTAAATAATTAAAATACATTGGATTATAGTCAAAAAATACTGCACCTTGTTTATCTATAGGTAACATCTTGTTCATATTTTCTTTCCGAAACATCAAAGCTAGTTTTGAATTGGGTACAGCAGTCAATGTCGAACGTAATGTGGTCATTTTTTGACCACCAATATTTAATTCAATTATATCATCCGACAAAGATCCAAGATTTTTTACTACTCTACCACTATTTAAATGTAGATATGATGCACTATTAACAAAAGTAATATCGTTAATAGGTGTCATATGTTTAGCGATAGCCGCATAGACAAATATTTGGCATTCGCAACACATTAGACAAATTATCTAAATATAAGTTTATAGATTTTAAAAGACATCATTCATAGAAGAGTACATACGAGTAATACAGAAAGCATCATTGATGATCTTACACGATAGATGATCTACAAATCAATGTCATAATCACATTATATCTATCACACTTGTCGATTGTTTTCTTTTGTAGAGTTATATATTGAAAGATGAATATTACGTATTGTAATATCATTAGAATAGATCTACAAATGAGAGAATATAGACTAATGAAAGAAAGTGATGAGAAAATCTTTTTTTTTTCTCTCGTCTATTTTCCAATGATAACTTTGTTATATCTATTCATATATATAAAGAATATAAATATTTCTATTATTCTTTTGCCGTAATAAACAGACAAGTTTATCGGCTGAATAACCTTGTTCGATTTATTCGAATTGCAAGTAACAAATATGTTTTTGAATAATGTGTTAAATCTATAGAAACTTCATTTATCTTAAAATTAATATGCATAATAAGAAAACCTTCATTGCGTCTCGTCTTTAAGTGCTAATGAAAGATGAAGATTCTAATTCAATTGTGTCATTTATTAATAGTACATAGTGCAGAAGAAAAAAAAGATCAACGAATAGGCTAAAAACTCGGAAAAAAAACGCATATATATATAATTAAAAAATTGATGTATCATTATTATTATTTGTTTAATTCCACGGTGAGATGCATATCAACCATTTGTACGTGATCTTTCCTTGTAATGCCCTTTTTTGAAGAAGGTCGAATTTGTCTGATGTTACCGCTAAATACAGATCATTAATGAAATGATCTAATAGTAATAAAATTCTTTATTAAGGTAATCAAATTTTTTTGTTTTTGAAGGAATTCATTTTCACAATAAAAAAAAAATGCATAATGCATTCGAAAAGCATATCAATTCCTAGTGCATTATCCATCACCATATGGCTATTCATCTGGAGGACATGTATAGTCCCTCATCACCGTTGAATCTAGCGAAATTAGATCGATAAAATAAATCGTTAGATTGTTCTTTCTGATCTGGCACAGTCCATTCATAAAACTACATTTCAAAGTCATACAACAAATCATATCGTTACCATACATCTACATTTTCGGGTTTTTATGAAAATTTTCTCGAATTGTATAAGCGAATGTTTTCTCTATAAATTATTAATGTTCACAATTTTTTTTTCAAATGATTTTGAGTCAATACATTCACATCAAAATTGTTTACGATCATTCAACAATGTATTTTTCTATAATGTTAAGTAATTGACTCAAATCTAAATATTGATACACGGTAGTTTTCAGATTCCAGAAGACTAAGTCCTAACAATGCCATTTTAAAGAGCACAAAATGAGTTGTCATCACGTTCTCTTAGTATCATAAAAATCACTAAAAAAAATTGAACTTTATCAAAAAAAAACGCCTTTTTCGATTTTAGTAATACTAAAGAAAGTTCGTAGAAAATGTGGTGACCCTGAATTTTGTCTTCTTTAAAATAGCATTGTTAAAAAGATATTCTTCTGAAACCTGAAAACTACCGTCTCTGGTTTTTGTTTTAGAAATCTTACCATTATAGTATAGAACGCATTACATATAGAAAATTCTACTTGACTATTCAAAATCAGTATCTGAAAGCTTTGCTAACACTTCAATTCTACTTGTACAATATTGTAATTATACAGGATATTATAAATTCATAAAGATTGAAAAGAATGAATAATACAATTATGAGAAAAATTCCATGATTTATTATCTTGTTGTAAAGAAATGAGTTTCAATAGTCAATAACAATAAAATATGGGTTGATAATAAATACAATCATAAAATTTAACTATTAAACTATCTTCAATACTGTAAATATTGATTAAATAATCGATGTGAGATAAAATAAAACAGATCATATTTTGTATAAATATCATTTTTTTTTTACAATTACATTATCAAAATATAACTTTTTATTTTCATCATTCTCAAGCACACAGGTTGTTTTTTTCTCTACTATATTGTGAAATCTTTAAATTGAGAAGAAATGTCAGAGGAGAATGTTCATTCTCTTTCTCTTTGGTTTTTCTTTTATTAAAAATGTTAAAATTTCGCGAATTTAATAGATTATTATAGTTATAGTTCTCATCTGAAGAAGAATTCAAAATAAATTTTAAAATATTAAAAGAATAGTTTATAAAATAATTGTTCGATGACAATCAAGGTGCTGATCCACATTCTGATGCATGTCGTTGTCGTCGTAAATATCGTCGTATAATTAATTTTTGTATAGCCCATGGCCAATTTTCATTAGCTTTTAATTCATCAGAAAGTCCTTTCCATTCTTCGAGAATTTTATAATCTAATGATGATCGACGTCGTGTACGTAAACGTGAATTTAATATAGTTAAATCTGTAGCTGATGACCATTCATCTAGATTAGAATGAGTAGAAAAAATATCATCATTAATTCTTTGATTACTATTAGATCTATGACATTCATTCATAATTGCTAATTGTTTTTCAATATTACGAATACGAGCTGTTTCAGCACGAATTATTTTATCATTCATATCGCCAGATGTACCCAAATAAATATCCCATAATTTATCTCGTTTTTGTTTATTAACAAGTTCTTCTATATAAAATAAACGGTTTACTTTCTTTTTTTTTTTTTTCGTGTTTTTGATTAATATTTAATTTTACCTAATATTTCTTTATTATTGCTTAGATCACGAAAACTTTGAACAAATAATTTTGTTGGAGGATTTATTGATTCATCAAGACTTTCAGCAGATGTTTGCATTTGCATTCCCAATAAAAATACAAAACTTGATGAATAAAAACAAAGTACAATAATAATAAATATAATAGCACCCAAAGAATCATTCGTAACGGTTGACTGATTGACTGATTCGATATATTGATTTAATATAGATGTAGTATTATTTAACATTATGATCGTGTTATTATTATAAAATGAATCGACTAAGATAACACAAAACAAAGTCCAAGTAATCTTATTTAATGATAAGAATTGAAGCCGTACTGCATATAAAACAGATTATAATAACTAATAGCGTTTAAGTTTTACATTAATTTTATTTTTTGATATATTTTAGTATAGAAACATTTTAGACAGTCTAAAAGTTCTTCGACATTTACAATATATTTTAATTATACATAGTAAATTCAAATACTTTTTGCTTTATCATATACAAGATTCCTGTATTGAAGTATAAACGAAATACAATTAATGCAAAACCTTGATCTTAATCGTTATCAACTTATTTGTTATTCTAAACATCAGTTGATATATCTGTTTGAATAAAAAAACAAAACAAGTTCCAATATAGATTTGTTACTACTGCTCGTCTAATATTTAAAATTAAACATCACACGAATAAACTCAAGTATTGAACTTTTTAGTTATGTCAAATTTACTTTTAACATGTGTGATGAACATATTAGTTTGTGTTCATTTTATGTAAGTGAGAGTGCCAATAAAGTTCAAATACTTACTTCAGGAAATGAATATCAGTGAAGTTACGGAATTTTCGCTTTTTTTCTCTTTAGACATGATACTCCGTGCTTTTGAAAATTGTTCATGAAATGCTCCTTTTTCTAAGATTAAACCACTCTGCAACGTCTTACTCTTGTCTTCAGTGCTAAGTTACGTCTCTGAGGGAAGATAATCATTTGATGAACAATAATTGTATGTATAATGTACACAGATTTTGTTCGAATTACAATAAATTGTAGACAGAACGTACCAGTTTATTTGTCAATCATCGAGTAAAAAATAAAGTTTAGTCTTTTTGAAAGAAATTTATTATTATATATGATACGACTATATAAGAAAGTCGATGATTTGGATATTATTATTTTATTACTCTCATTTGATGAGAATAATCTTACTTTTTCATTCTTTTCAAATTTCTGTAATAAATAATGTTTGTTAATTTTTGGTTTCTATTTTAACCAACACAGCAATATTGATCCATGACCAACAATAAAAAAAAAAAACAAGAACGTATATTCATCAAGAAGAACAAGAAAAGAAAAGACAACATCAAGATTTTTTTCTCTTACATTGAATACAACAGAGAGAGAGAGATATATATATAAAGAGTAAAAATTAGCATTTCGAACAGGTTCAAAATTCATTCGTTTTCTTTTTCTTTTTCTTTTAATCGTTGAATTTGTATATGAAAAAAAAAAAAACAAAGGTAATCGATTAAAGAAAGAAACAAATATAATAAAGATACAAGACAAGAAAAGAGTAAGGTTTAAATCATGTGTTCAACGAAATGAGTAATAGACATTGATTGTATATTGGTTTTTTTTTTCGTGTAATTATATTTGATCATCAGAACAAATGAATGTCTTTGTGCAAAAAAAAAAGAAAAACAAAAAAATTTTTTTTTTGTTTTAGATTACGATACATGAAGAAAAAATAAAAGAGATAGAAAATAGAGATCGTCCATAGAAAAGAAAAACCAGTTTAGAGATCCGATTCGCCATAGAGAGCCGATGAAAATGTTTTATAATCATATGCGCCAGGTACACCATCAGCACCTGAATATGGTTTCATACGTTGTATACACCATTCAGCTTGATCAGCCGGTAATTCACGTTTAAGTACTTCAGCTGTAATATAAGGCTAAAATGAAAAATAAAAACCATACAATAAAATACTATCTCAAGTAGTTAAAAGAAAAATGATTGATGATAATGACTCTGCTTAATATTCTTGAATATAACAAGCAAGAAATGCGAAAGAATAGTCTAGTTTTACAATGCCTGAAATCGCCATAAATTACTACGAAAGTAATCTCGTATGCAATCTACAATTTTGATTAGGCTGAACTTTCCATTATATCATACATTTCACTTATACAAATAATGCTTCAAATCTATCTAAAAATAAGAAGAAACCTAAGTTCAACAAATTTATGTATTTTTTCTTAATCTCTGGAAAACATAAATCAATTAGAAAAAGAAAACATCTTCGAAATGCATCTTTCCATAAGTTTTCTCTTTAACTAAGATCAGTGTTCACTGAACCATTGAAACACACCGCTACAAAAAAGACATGCTGACACAGTTGCTGTTTAAACGTTGCAGTAGACCCTATACTGATCACTCACTATTCAATATTCACACAAAAATTGCACATCCGTAAGTGTGGAAGCTACGCCTGTTCAAAGATCGGGTTGGTATTTACACAGTTTTTAATACCGCGTACAACATATCTGTGCATCCAAACAAACATATTCGTCCTTTGAATTTTAAATCATCTATTCGGAAAAAAAAATCTGAATGAAGCACTTAAAACATATACATAAGGTGATGGAAAAAAGTTTAACAACAATGAATTTTTCTATCTAATACAAGGTGTTTAAAAAACCAGAAACGGTATTCTTCAGATCTGAGAAGTTTTTTTTTAATAATGCAATTTTAAAGAATACAAATGAAGCATCACCGTATTTTCTCTTAGTATCATAAAAACCATACAAAAAAAAAAAAACCTTTTCTTCATTTTTTATAATCGTATAGACAATTCGTAGAAAATCTGGTAAACCTTCATTTTATGCTCTTTAAAATTTCATTTAAAAAAAAGCTTCTCAGACCCAAACAGTACCATATTTAGTTTTTTTCAAAACTTTGTATTAGATAGAAAAATCCATTGTTGTTAAACGCCTTACCACCGTCTTATATTAATTTTAAATTTATTAATTTGTGACTATAAAAGAAAAACATATTCTTCTACTTGCACACTAATTAATATAAGTGGTAATTTTATCTTCATATGTCAATACATTTTATCTCTTAATTGTTGATAAAAGAATAAAATACTGTAATTATTTATGATTAAGAAACTTACTTTATCAGCAGATAGTGTCTTGAAAGCAAGTGTTAATTGATCAACACTATCTTCTTCGGAACATTCACGTGTCATAAAATCCAAAAATGATTCAAATGTAACAAAACCTGTATGTGTTGGATCAACATTAGCCATAATACGTTGAAAATCAGCATCACCTTGTCGATCTTCACGTATATTATAACCACAAGCAATTAAACATGAACGAAATTCTTTTGGATCAAGTCGTCCTATTTAAATAATAAAAAGTAAAATCAATCGAAAAAAAAAACAACAACAAACAATAACAATACATACGACTTCGACTTTTATCAAAATGAGCAAAAGCAGCTCGAAATTCATTCATTTGTTCTTCACTAATTCCTTTCTTTTCTAATGTATATATTTGATTTTTAATTTCCGCTATTTGTCTTGTTAATTGTGTATGTAACTGTTCCCATGCAACACGTATAACTTCCATTGTATATGGTGTATGACGATTTTCAAAAATCATACATTCTTGTATTTGTTGATTATATTTTTCAAGTTCATCTATATGTGGACGATATTGTGCAACATTTGTTTCCATTGTTTCAAGTTTCTTTTGATGTTGTTCTAATGTACCAACAACTTGAAATGTTAATTGTTGTAATTGTTCATGTTGTCGTTCTATCCATGGACCAACAATATTTGCTTTTTGAGCAAATTGTATACGAAAACGTTCATTTTGTTGTTGTTTAGCATATTCAGCTTGTAAATCTTGATCACGTTGTGGTACAAGTGCTTGAACTTCATTCCATTTTGTTGTTATTTCCTTAAATAGATTTATTAGTATTAAAAAAAAGTAATGTTTGATAGTTTTACAAGGATAGCATGTCTAAAAAAAAAGTCAAGTATTTCAGTTCCTACAATTCTGATTATATTATTTGGAATGATAGAGGAAATAGTTGTTTACAAAATGAAACATCTTCCAGCTTTTTTATGATGTTTTCTTCACTTAGACACATCGACCATACGGCAGGCACAAAAACCGTTCCGTCTATTATTTCGTACGAAGACACTAGTTTTGTGTCCTTCGTAAGATTGATATATCTTTAGATCAAAACATGTCCTTAGAAAAGCTTGAAGACATCTTATTTTGCAGAATATTGTTCCTTATATCATTCTGGATATATTAATCAGAATTCTAGGAGTTGAGAAACTTGAGTTTTGGTTTTTCAGAAATCCTATCCTTGGGAAATTTTTTATAAGCACTGGAGAAAATTAAGGAAAAAATCTAGTTAAATACTTTTAAGGGAAAATGTATTGTGTAACACACGTGTGTTGAGTTGCTCTAGAACAGCTCAACCCTATAGACCGTTACTACGTCGAGTTATTATTGAAAAATTAGCTTTAGTGATATGACACAAAAAAAAGAAAAAAGACTATCAATACACACATTTTAATTTATAAATCCTGTAAATTCAAATCGATTTTTTTTTTGAAAATTAAACAGTGTGTTTTGTAGATAATTCTTCTGGCTACAAAATCTCTACGAAAAATCTTTACTGAGTATGTTTACGTTCTTCAGAAAATTGAATTTATTCGTTATTAGTGATGTGAGTGAATACGAATACAGAAATCCGAAATTTCCTTGTAACTGAATAAGAAGTTCAAAAAATGAATATTTATTCTAGATCATCAGATGAGAACAAACCAAAACTCTTTTCAAAAGCTACTATTTGAGGGGGTGAGCTTTCGCAGTTCGACCTTGCTGAAAATTGAATTATAGATATAGACATTAAGTCTATTCTAAAAACCTTGGACTTGTCCGTCACAAGGTTAGACAATTATTCATAAATTACATTCTAATTAACTACCAAATTAAGTTTAATTAGTTATGATTAGAGTTAGTTCACAACAATAATCCTTATAAAAGAATAGTCGTCAAATCTCAATGAATTCGATAAGCCAGGAAGACAATTAATACAAAACTCGGATGCGATTGTTTTTTTTTTTTTTCTATTTGTAAAAGTATCATAGTTTTCAAATACTGTTTATCGAAGCTCATAAATATATATATACAGATGTCTCGACATAAAAAACACGTA